GTTAAACCCCTCCTCCCAGCCAGTCTATTTTGTTACCCTATATAAACAAACTCTGCCACTACATTCCTTTATCCATAGCAACTTCCAGTGGGTAATCCACAAATCAATTAAAGGCAAGTTAATTGCCAAAAATGGATCAAATGACAAGCATTAGAAGCATAATATTTATGGGCACTATCCTAAAACTTCGTGTGTTGGAAAAGTTTCATCCGGCTAGCTTTCCTTTTAATTCAAGATTTAAAATTTGTATTATTTCTTTGAAAATAAAAAAGTAATCTCATAATTACTCTTAGCTTATGATGGTTATGTTTTGTAGGCAGTCACGGACAGATATTTCAAACAAAACAAGGTTCCTACTATAGGGCTATTACTACTGCTATTGCTTTTTAAATTCCAATTTTCTTTGCTTTAGTATTTTCTATGTATAAAAATTTTTGAGATAGTGTGAAACAATGTAATAGAAAGTATATTTTAAACTGCTCCTCCTTCCCCTACATCTTTTCATCTTCCTCCTTGTTTTACTTTCCCTCATTGTATTTTTATAATAACAGAGAAGCAAAGGCAAATTCACTCAAGAGACTAGAGACTGAAAACAAGTCAGTAATGAGGTCAATATTTATATGGTTCCATTGACGTTGTGCAATTCTGAGTTTCATGGCTAGAACTACAAATGTACTCACAGATGTATGGAATGGATATGTTTGAACTTATATGCAAATAAATTATCAGTTTCTTTAAAAAGGCTTCCCTGGCTTCCCCAAGCAGAACTTCTCATCTCAGTCTCTATTTATTTTATTTATTGTTAACTAATTTTCTCTCTTCCTCTACCAGAATGTAAACTTGATGAAAGCAAAGACCACATCCATTTTGTCCCTCACTACATCCTGTTACATTTTTAGGAGTATTTATAAGTCAGTTGTTAACACCCAACAGTTATTAAAAATTAAATTACATAAAAGTTGTTCATTATAATTAAATTACATTAAAAACAATGGAAATAAGTATTCAAAACTCATAACCTCTGAGTGATTTGGTTACATTTTACTATTATTACGTTTTGGGGGCAATTTATGTCTATTGTATCTATATGATAGAAACACCGTATATAGTACTATGTATCTCTTGCCAATTCCACATTTAGTGACCTCTGCAGTTTGAAATGGGCGGGTGAGAGAATTTTTTTGCACAGAAATAAGCAGTTACTACAAATAGTGCCCTCCCCCACCCCCATGGAGAGCTGGTTGTGAACATTTACCGCCTGAATGATCTTTTACATTCTGTTCTGTTCATATTTGAATGTTTAATTCATTGTTATAATAATTTTAGGGTTTTGTTTTTATAGAGTTTATTTCTTTAGCTCACCACAAAACTTATCTTTTCAAAGTTTCACTTCAAAGCTTTCTCTTTCTTTTCTTTTCTTTCTTTTTTTTTTGGAATGTGACTTACATACTTGTTATCTTTGAACTGTCTTTTGCATTTGATTGGCTTAACATAATTACAGTAATATATATTTACTCTATTCACAAATCCATTTTTCCTCTTTATCATTTTAGTTTTTTTCTTCCAAATTTACACTATTACCAGCTAATGAATTATATAATTTGAGCCGTGTAACATGGCTCATGCCTGTAATCCCAGCACTTTAGGAGGCTGAGGTGGGAGGATAACTTGAGGCCAAGAGTTTGAGACAAACCTGGGCAAAACAGACCCTAAAAAAAAATTTGTTTTTAAGCCAGGAATGGTAGGGTGCGCCTGTAGTCCTAGCTACCCAGGAGGCTGTGACTGGAGAATCCCTTGAGCCTAGGAGTTTGAGGCTGCAATGAGTGATAATGATGCCACCATACTCCACCCTAATGACAGAGCGAGATCCTGCCTCTAGAATAAATAAATAAAATAATACAATCGGACAAGTTTTAAAGTACCATATAGTACTCTTCCTTTGCCAATGGAATTTTCTTTTGCTCTGATTCAACTCTGTGTACTTATATAACCCAGCCTTATGGAAAATCAGACACCTCTCTTCAGCCCCTTGTCAAAGTCAAAAAGGCTTGTCAATTATAGTTCAAAGGCAGAAAAAGTAATGGAAGTTAGGAGGAGGGAGAGCCAAGATAGAAGGTGGGTATATGACTGTGGCAAAGAACATGATAGATGCTGAGGGCTCCAGAACAAGGAGTACCAAAGTAAAGTGTATGGAATTGAATGCTTCCTCTTTCGTGAGAAGTATTCCTTATTTGCTCTGCCTAGATCAGACAGGCCTTGATTCAGCTGCTCAGTCAAGGTACCGTCTCTTAAAATCAATTGATGGGGGCTCAACCACCTCATGACTTAAAGACAAAAATGCACTTGTTGAAAATCATAAAATCAACATTATGAAAATAAACAGTATAAATTTTACAAACTACTATTTAAGCATAAACACTCATACCTATTACACATTCAGAAATGGTATGGTTTTAACAACAGTGAAAACCATTCTCACACTGATGATCAGAAATACCCACAGCATGATTCTAAACCCTTGGCAGTGGGGAGTGTCTCTTCTTCTTTAGTCACCTTGATTTTTTTGTACATCTCCTGGCAGCACATTTGACAGAGCTCTGTGCTGGTCCATAGCCTGCAGGCTACCTTATAAAATCAATACCTTTATATTTATTGCAGAGTTTGTAATCTTTCTGCCTGTGGTTGTTCCATGCGCTGTCATGATAAGACAGAAAACACTCAAACTGTATTTCCCGTCTCTACCTGTTTCTAGTCTACATTGATAATTGAACAGATTCTTTTGAATGTTAGAGATGGGGCTTTCCTTCAATTTTGAAAAAAATGCATATAACGCATTCTACAAAAATGTTGTTTACAAAGTGGTACTTCCCTACAAGAATCCTATTGTAGCAAGTGATTTTTAGACTTGTAAGCAAAATGTCTGAGCATAATTTTACTTGGATAAGTCTATTATTCAGAAACCTGTCCTTCCATGGTCATTGCCCAATTATGACTCTTATACTCTCTCCTGTCTGCCAGAAGTGTGCTCCAAATCATTCATTCTTTTTGCTGCCTTACTGAAGGCATTGAATTAGATGGCATATGTACTGAAGTCAGGGGGTGGGACAATGGAACAAAGATTTTCACAGAAGCACACAGAGCTAGGGTTCTAGCTCTGGCCAGGCCACTATCAAGCTGCATGACCCTGGGGCCTTTCAGGATCTTCAAGCTCTTCAATGTAAGACAAATAAGTTTGAACAAATGAACCATCAGGTTCCTTCATCTCTAACCCCCTGTTCCCATGAATGTGGCAAAAGGAAGCACAGTGTCCTTACACTTGCCATGAATTGGAACACATTTGCTAATAGGTTCATTCATTTAATACGTATACGCCAAGCACCTACTATGTACCAGACACTCTTCCAGGCATTGGCTATACAAAGGTGGAAAAAAGGACAAAAAAATTGCTGCCGTGTGGAGCTTACATTCTATTATTAATAATAGCTGAAATTTATTTTAGTGTTGTCTATGCGCCAGACACTTTACATGGCTAACACAGCTAATCCTCATAACACCCCATTTTACAAATAAGGAAACTGAGGCACATGAAGTAACTTTTCCAAAGTCTCATAGCTACAAGCAATAATGTGAAAATGTGAACCTCAGCAGCAGTGTGACTGTAGAGCTAGCCAACAGTCAATCATTCCTGCACACTACCTTTCTAAGGTGAGTCTGGGTTGTATGTGCAAGTTGCTTATAAGGTAACCATTTATAACGCAGCTCTACTGTACTATTCTGTGACCAACAGAGGTACCAATGATGACAGTTTATCTGAAAATGTATTTCACAAAAGAAGCTTTATAAAATCTGTGAAATGTTAGTGAAGACTTGGAAAATGCTGTGAAAGGGGTGGTAGGTAGTCCTGCACTCATGTACATGCTTTCATCTAATCTGCACAATGGCCTTATGAAGTAGATACTTTTATTTTCTATTTATGTATATGGAAATGGCTCAGAGACATTAGGAAAAACTGCCCAATCAAGAAAGCAGCAGAGTTGGCACTGGAGCTTGGTCTGTTTGGCTGTAGAGCCAAAGTTCTCCTCCTACACCATGCTACCTCTTCCGACAATATGCAATGGTTGTTAGCAGTATTGTTATTCTTAGGTATAAATGTTGCCTATACACTAATTATTTTTTCATTGTCAATTTAGCCAACATTACTCACAATTTGAAATATCATTAAGAAGCCTAGTTTAATAGTCAAGACTATGCCAGTAGAATAAATAGACATGACACAGGATGAAGTTGACCTCTCTAGCTCAGAGAATCTTCTGGCTCCTCTGAACAGCTGGCCAAGGAGTAATATTTTGGCAGTAAAATACAACCACATGACCAATGTTTTTGGCCAGATGAAATGAGCCAGATGGAAGCCCATGAAGCAAAACCCAGGAGGGGGCAGAAGCAGACAATATAAAATCACTGATTCATTTTCCTTTTTCTTTTTTTTTAATATAAAAATATTTTTATTTTGATGCTTTTGCTTAGCATTCTTTTAAACCAACATCAATTAGGTTAGAGGACACTTTAGATATTATTTAATAAGTTTATATTTTAACTGATTACTAAGCCCTATTCTATAACAAATCACATGGTGTTCTGTCTTCAGAGAAAGATTCAGAGCTAAGTAGAGAAGATAGTACACCTGTTAGAATAATACCTGTCATTACGGAATTTTTTCCTTGTGTGTTAATAGGATCTGGTCAGGAAGCTGGAGGTGGGAGAGTGACCAGCAGTCCCGGTTCTAACACAGACTTCCAGAATTCATACCAGTGCAGGTTTCTTAAACTTGCTCTGCCTGGTTTCCTCATTTGTAAGATAAAGGTAATGCTAGATGCACTTCCCAAGGCTGTTTTGGAGGATGACATGCTTGAGTTAATGCATGTATGGGATTGGGAATGCTTCCTGGTGCATAGTAAGTGTCCAAATACAGACTAGCTCTATTGTTCTTACTTTGGACTTTCTTTTTTTTAAGGTAGAAGGCCAGAACTTTATACCACATGATCCAGCATAAAGGCAGTCTTTTTACTTCATTATTCAGGGACAGGGCTTTAGCAGCTGATCTGTTACACACCAGGTGTCCCACGTAGGAATTTCTTAAACCATAGGCATGATGTAGCTGCAGAGAGTCCACACCAGGTGACAATGTACTGCAGATGCTCGTTCCTCAGAGTAACTCTGGTTTGCCCTCCAATGGGTCCTCCAGGGACTGTGCTCTCCCAGGTCGGTGCAGTGGAAGGGAGTGACCACATAGGCCCCACTCTGAGTTGAGGAGGAGATGCGGCCAGCCTCCCAGGCCTCCCGGGCAGGGTCCACCATGGTCCGGGGCATCATATACAGCTCCTTGGAGTGGTCAAAGCACCCCTTGACTTTCACTGGCCTATACTCCATATTTTTCAGTTCCATTGGGTCTGCTGGTAGAGGGACAGGCTCAGCCAGAACTCTAGACTCCCACTCTGCAATCAGGTTCAGCTTCCACTTCCGACGTTGGACCTGCCATGTCCCCAAGCCAAAGGCAGTCACAGGGATGAGGAGCAGCACCCACTGAATAAAGGAGTCATCTTCCGCTTTTGTGGCAGATGCTTCTGCTGCAGAACTGCCACATCTGGGCGCGGGGAGAACCGGAGGACGCTCTTCCAAGCGGCGCTGGCAGGGGCCCGTCCCAGCCCCGCCGCCCGCAGCCCCAGCTGCCGTGCAGCCACCGCCGCCATCGCACCTGGCCCCGCGGGCCTACTTTGGACTTTCTAACCACATATGTGTGTGGTCTCTAGTCCCTGAACCTCCAATTGTTCTTCTCCTATTTGATAATAATTACATCCATCCTTTTCACTTACCCTAAAGCATTAAGTGAGATGAGCTGTGGCACACTAAAAACAACAGTTGTCAGATCTGTTACATCTGAAAAGCTTTGAAAACTAAAAAGTGCTATGCAACAGGAGGTATTCTTGGGGTATGCAGAAAGTTACGTCCTAGTGTATTGATTCAGGTGGCGCTCACTCCCTTTCTAAGATGTGGGTTCCAGACAGCTTTTTCTCATGGGAATTGTGCAGTTTGGTTGGGCAATCACTGATGTGCTACCACTTAGGTTTTGGAAGTGGCCAAGAGTAGCTATGAGACCACACTCTCCTATGATCCCTGCTCATATCTGCTACTATACAATTTCCAGATCAAAGTTGCAGATTTGATCTTTACTTCCTAAGAATACAGGGGATAATTTAGGGATATCTAGATCTTCTTATTTGGGCAAATATTGCTTTATCTTTTCATAGCCCAGATATCATTTATGCTTTTGTTTATTGATGTGATTGTCATTCCTCCTTCCTTCTACTGTTCAGTCTACGTCATATCAAACAAATTTACTCATTAGACCTTCTATATCAGGTATAAGCATGCACATACGTACTTAATTAATCACCTGTTTGGTAGCTCTGCTAAAATGCTGGGAAGGAAAAGATGTTGAAACAATTGGCAAAAATGAGATTTGAAGATTTTCTGAGAATTTCTATCCCCTGACCCCTATTACTATAAAGGGCAAGAAAACTAGAAGACACTTTCTGTTTCTGGTCTGTGGAATGCTATGGAATAATCTCTGCCCTACATTCAAATATACTCTGAGTGACTTTCTCTTCTATTTACGTAGTACCTACCCTATACTCATCACGTAAAATGTTCCTTTTAACATCCCTTTTTAAGAAGACAGAAAGCAGGAAATGTTTTGTGATTTGTTCTCTTTGGAAGACAGAATCATCTCAAGAAGAGTAATTTTCTATTTAAAGTTTCCTTGAACACTACTGTAGTTTTAAACAATAATGTATTTTAAAATACAAAATTCCCTAGTGTTCTCTTATTGGAGTTGTCAGGGTCCACACACTTGCTAAATGCTTGCTCCTTGATTCTTTCCTTACTTCCCAGATAGTTTTTCCCCATCTTTTTTTAGGTACTATATTTAAACAACCAATATAAACTTATCCACATTGTTTTCTCAAATTTAACATGAGCACATCACTCTCCTCTTTCTTCTCTATAATACTTGGGGGCGCGTTGCTCTAACGTAATTAGGTGAATCTTTAAACACATGTGCCAGAACCTAGGCAGATAAATCAGCACCTTGCCCTCAAAAATAGTACTCATCTTTGTAAGCAGTGCCCTAATGCTAACACTGATCCCATTACTGAAAACACGGTTGGCACTCTCTTCTGGGTTCACAGAGAAAAAGTAGCTTCCTTATTATGTAATCCTCTGCTTTCTCTCTTTTTCTGTTCCTCACTCCTCTCCCCACGGCCCTGCTCCACTCCCCTCTCCTGCCTTTCCTTCCCTCTCCCTCTTTTTTTCTCTTTCAATCCCTCTTTCTGCCTCAAACCAAACTTAATAAGCTATATATTAATCATTTTTGTTTTTTTATAAAAATCTATTTCAACCACATAAGACAAAAAACTGTCACAGCTGAAGAACTTTCAAATCTATTTTGAGCATTGTAAACTGTTTAAGATTGTATTTCTCAAGAGTCAACACTGATTAAATGTATATGATTTGCTATTACTTTAACAAATCAGACACTAATTGAATTTCATATCTTACAGACTTGGCTTTCCATTAGCCTGAATGTTACCAGGGAGCGAAAGCCATGCCAAATAAAAATATTCCAGCTTAAAGCTAAGTGTACCCCCAGTATCATGCATTATTATCCATTTGATAGTCAAAGAAAAATGACACTACAATAGGCACATTTGAAGATTTTACAAGATATAAAATATTGCTCATAAAAAATATGGGAGAAATTCAGTGAAGAAATGTTGTCTAATGTCCAGTTCTTTCAGTTGCTTCAACAATGGAATCATATCCAAAGCCTCTTAAAGGTCAAGATAAGCTTAAGTTACTTTCGCCATTTAAGGATTTTGTATATTTTTTTAAATTAAGAAATGCAAAAACAAGGCTGTGACATTATGAGATATTTTACATGTTTACATCAAATAGTTTAACACCTTTAATTCCAAGAATGCTATGCAATAAAACTATGTTCTTCAGAAGATAATTATAGCATTTAACTGTGCGTGCATGTGTCTGTGTGTGGTGTGTATATGTGTCTGTATATATATATAGCCACTCATGGTGCATCTGAGGTATTATGGTATGATAAAAATTTTAAGTTATATAATAAGTACCTTTTTGCATTATTGTCAGTAGATTGTTGTGGCTGAATGCATAATCTCCTTTGGATGAGTGAGGGACCTGCAGAAATGCAAGAGCCAGTGGCCAACTGCCTTCCTACCTCCCTAACCCTTCCACTCAATTCAACTTATGATAGATATGATCATATCAAGTTGGTTATGCCAATAAAGCATTATGGGGTGATGCCAAATAAGAAAGGGTAACAGGATACTTTATCAAATAGACATTACTGGCATTCTTGCTGTATATAAAGAAGCTTCAAACCTCAAAGAGTTTGTAGTGCAACTGGAAAGATAAACTAGAACCTCCAAACAGTGAAAACAGCACATATAAAAAATTAATTATTATGTGGGAAATTATATATTCAAATTAAGAGGAAATAAAGGAAGGACTAAGTCTCTGAAGCTTCCAAAGGAAACGGGCTCATGATGGATACTTGAGATGTCATCCTTACCTCTTAAACTTGTTACAAATTAAGTTTGTTAAAATTACAGATGTGAGGTATTCAAATACATGAAAAAGTTATCCTTAGCTGCTAATGCTTATATTTTGGAAAGGGCCAGAACTTGACCAAAGGAACCTTGAAAACATATATTTATCATATAGCTTTAAATTTTTATCATACCATAACACCTCAGATAAAAATATCTTTGCCAAACTGAGAGTACAGCTTAAACTTTGCATTTCGTGAGATTTCTCAAATTCTTTAGTCCATCAAGCTACTGCTTTTACTTTATTCAGCAGTTGGAGATTTATGATATTAAAGAGCTTGTGATCAGATCTCAGTGATGAAGAGAGCCTAGAAGCCACCATATATTGGAAATATGCACAGTAAAGTTAGCAAATAATTGATGTTAAGTTCTGAATGTACAATTTAGCATATAATAAACATGAGAATCACATTCGACAGAATGCAAAGCACATAGTAGGCATATAATTCAAATTTGCAACCAAATTTTATAGCTGTTACAAACTAACGTAATAAATCGTTAATTTCTTTTCAAATAAGAATTATATTTATCTCTTGCCAAAGTTTGCTTTTGCATTGTTATAACAAATTTTTTAATTTGATTTCTCTGAGTTTATAGTTCCCTAAAAGTTCCAAGGACATTGTCTTCTTTACTGTCTAAAGCAAATAATCCTTATAAATCATTTTAATTCAAATTTTGAATGTTTTCTATGCAGGAAAATCAGAACACATTTTAATCCTGTGTTAATGTACATTTCTACATAGGCCTGGCAGCTTCCAGATGTGCTACATTTGGTCTAAATAAGAAAGACCTTATATCCTTTTTGCAAACAATGTCACTTCTATTTACTATTGATTAAATAGATACCTTTCAGTGCTATAAATTTTAATCAATAAAAAACAAAAAAAGCTTTTATTTATAAACAATAATAAAGAATAATCAATCTTCTCTTTATTAATACCTAGAATACTCAAATGAGAAGGAAATCCAAGATTTTTTAAAGTGTCTTCTTTTTTTCCAGTTATTTGGTTAAAATAAGCTGATTTTCTTGTAAAACAGTCATTGACAGTTTAGTGAAGTCATGAGGTCAAGATTTTTAATATTATTTCCAGAAACAAAAGATTATTAAAATATTTAGTTTGAATTCATGGCATCTAATTCTGCTGGGCAAGATTAACACTGAATTACTACCTGAAACAGCATTAGTTTCAATTTTTTCATGTGGATGTGCCCTGAAACACTTATAAAGAATACTGTAGTGTTCTTGTTGTTGGTTAGTCAAACAAGAACCCTTCCCTAACATTTAGGTTGACTATATTAAGCCATTAGACAAGTTAATACACTGTTTTTCAGGTGGCAGTAATATGAATGCTTTGTTAAGTTTGCCATTTAACTCTCAAAATTAGCTTTTAAAGTTAGTCAACTTTCTTCAACTTCTGCATCATCTTCTTGGCTCTTATTTCATATATTGTCAAATTAACCAGCATTAGGAGTTAGAAGGTCAACATAGGGCAAAGGCTTATTTGCAAGGGGCCTAAGGCAGTTAAGCAGTTCTTCCTAGCTACAAAAGGAAAAGAGCAATACCTGTAGGACTTTAAGAAACGCAATCTTGATTTGGCTCCTGTAGACGGTCCTGGCACCGTGGCTCCCAGAGGATCCCAAACAAAAGCCATTTGTAAGGACGATGCCAAGATCCACAGGAACCACGAGAAGTCAGAGCTGGTGCTGGGCCCTGGGGCCCTGAGGCCCCGCAGGGAGCAGGAGCAGGAGGCACTTGTAGCTGAGTGAGGGCATTTCCTTTGTGCAGTAGTATGCGCTGACAGAGAGGTGGCAGGCTGGCTGAGGCAGGGCTGGAAGGGATGGCCAGGACTTCCTGCTGCATGACACTTGGCCTTTGCAACAGAGCTTGCTTCACTCAGGCCTTATCTCATAATTAATGTGAGAAACACTCCCTAGAAAATTTGTTTTTAAATATAGCCCTGATTAAACAGCATAGTCACATGCCACTCCTGAAAAGCACAACACACACACACATGCATGCATACATGCATGCACACACAATGAAAGGTGTAATTGAAGTGAGTAAACCTTTGTATCAGTGTGAACTTTAAAAACTACAAACCCAGAGGGCTTTATTAAAACTTTTTAAAAAGTAAATATATGCCTATGACTGGGTCATCTGAAAAAGATTACTAAATTTCACACAGCTAACTGCCAACTATAATTTTCCTTATTTCAACTTCTCTTAAAAAGAGATGGATATCATTCTAAGTCAACCTTCCACAGGATGTAAACAGGATTTAGTCGTCTTGAAAATACCAGTGCCTCTCTACAAGTCAGTGTGAGAAAAACAGGCAGATCACTTTCAGAACTTTTGGCAGCTTTTCCCTCAAGGAGTTGCTGCGTCACCTTAGAGAGTGAATTACAATGCATGACTTTGACAACAAAGATCAATTATCTTGTCCATTTTCTATTCCCTAGAAACATTTCTTAACTCTGATAAATCCGTTAAAACAACTTTCTTTCAAATTAAATAAATGATGAAAGCCAAATAGAATCCTTCACATGTTTTATGAGTCCAGGACATTTTGGGAAAGCATCTATTTCAAGATATTGTACCCATGGAGTCAAAGGACCCTAGTGCCGTCATCGGTCCTCACCACTGAGTGGTATTCAATGTTAACAATGCAGCATAATTTCATCAGTCCGTGTCCAAACACTGCCCCGCGGGTAACCTCAACTGTAAACCAAGGGAGAGCACCACTTCTCCAGGATAAGATTAGAGAGGCTTCAAGTGTCCAAGAGAGAATTTAACCCTCTCTGAACCGGACAAAATTGACCAATAGTTGAGCTCAGTGAACATCACCATATCTGCAAATTTTGAGACCTCTAAAGCTCTATCTGTCTCTTGTACACCAAGGGAGTCTTGCATATTCATATAATTTCAGTAAAAGCTCAAGACATTAAACATTATGCTTATTTTCACAACAGCATCCAGCACACCAGGGGTTCTTAAGAATGCTACAGGTTTCATATCAGCTTTGGAGATGAGTAATAGGAAACATTTTTACAGTTTCACCTCTTCCTTATCAGACACATGAACTCAAAGAAAGTGGGTGAGTGAGAACTGCCCTGAACAGCAGCAACCTTGGAGGAGCACAGAGTTCAAAAATAAACACAACACATTCTCTCTGAATCAACTTGCAATACTGTAATACTTCACAAACTGTCTTTTTGCTTTTGTATAGCGATCCAAATTTCGCATGGGCAAAACACGTAGCCACTTTCCTGGTGTTCTCAAAGAAGGACTGAAAAGGTGCTTATACTGATGCCAATCTGCCCTTCTGGTGCCTGAAATGCTACCATTATCATTTAATTCTTTCAAACTATTTAATTTCCATTTTGGGCAGCTCTTAGGAAATGCACACATTCCTGGCAGAGTTAGCACTGAGCTGAACGACTTGCTGCTTAGTAGAATGTCTTCATCTGAGACTAAAGCCAGACAGTGTAAGATAACTGGCGATCTGTGTGAAGAGGGGAGGAATCTGTGTAAAGAGCTGGTGGGGTGGGGTGGCTTGAAAGGGAGGGGGAGGGAGGCCACGAAGACAAGCCTAAGAGTGGAAGGGATGTTGCTGGCAAAGATGGACTTTTTTCACCCTCCAGGCAACACAAAGCTCTCATTTTGTCCAGTGGTGTTTAAAATTTTGTAGGTGAAACAGCGTCACTGATTTGTAATAAAAGCTACAGTCTATGTATATGACTTTGGAAGCAGAAAAATATTTTCATTGTTATCCCAATTTTACTGATAGCAAGAAAAACGTCATCTTTCTATTCGGGCTACAGCCAGCAGCACACATTTTCACAAATAATTAACTGCCTTTGCTTACCAATTTACATTTTTTAAAGGATATTCAATTAATAGATATCTAATTGATAAACTATAAGGACATACGAATAATCTAGAATGAATCTGCTAGGGAATGTTCAACTATTTCTAAAAATGTACAAGGAAGGAGAACCAATCTTGTCGTTTTCATTATTGTCAAAAACATTTCCTTCTTTCCCCCTTGCTTCATAAAGGCAGACATCTAGAACAGTTAAGCAAGATAAAAACAATGGAACTGTAAATGCGAAATTATGAACAGGAAAATCGAAACTCTGCTTCATTTTCCCAGTGTGAAATCAGTTACAGACACAAGAAGTGTCTGGCAACATTAATGTTACTTTTTCTTAAATAATTACTTACCGCCTCCTTTTCATTTCTTCCACACAGTTACACATAATCCCGCTTAGGTTACCAGGCGTCAGTAAGGTCATAGAAATAAGCTACTTATTTCTGAGATTAATTGTGAGCAAAATTAAGCCTTGATTTCAAATATAAGTATCAATATTGTTTTTAAGAACTGGCTAATATTTCACAGACATGAGAATTTAGACATTTGGAAAAAATAAGAAATTAAATACAATGATTTTCTAGGATGAATCTTTACTAGCATTTATATTACAATAAGCTGTTTATAATTTTTACTTCATGGGTATCAAAGAGTAGAAAAGAACAAAGAAGACATCTTTTGAACATTCTAATTACTGTCATTTATTAAGTGTTTATTTTTCCAGATGAATTTTAGTAAAAGCACGATTGAAGAGCAAGGAGAGATGTTCCATCCCTGGGACAATTTATTGTTTACAAGTTGTGCAAACTAATTTTATATGTCCCAGGGAAACCGGATTCAGAAATCTAAACATTGCTCCCATCCAATTGTTATCCATGTAAGTCCTAACCCCCCTAAAGTATCAGCAAAGTGCCCATCTCTTGCCAATAACTTAGCTCTTATGTTCTGCAGATCTCTAAATAAGGCATCTCTTTTGTCTCTTGAATATTTCTGGGATTTTGGTTCCAAGATTCCAGATGTTACAAATGGCAAATTTGGGTTTCGGTGTCTGACACAGAAACTCAGAATTTCCTTTATAGGAGACAGCTACTGTGAATAAAAATGAAACTCTCAAATTTAAGAGTGGGATAATTTAAACATAATCCACACAGGCATTCAATTACTTGCACATCAAGTCTCTAGTTAACAGGCATACGGAGGAAAGAGGGTTGAACTGAACTTCAGAGAAATAAACAGTTATATCAGTGGGGTTGCGTTAGGTTGAAAGACATTGCTTCAGGAAACCAGAGCAGGCAGATAGTGGGTTTCAGGATAGTGCTGTATTTTGAAATAGTCTCTGGTTACAGACTCAAAGCCAGCAGAAGTTAACGTGGAAGCAAATAACAGACTGTTATTTACCATCTACTTCTGATGAGGGTGTCGTCGTAATTCTATCTTCAGAGTGATAGATTGCAAAAGAGTGTGACAAAAGGCAGTTTGACAACGGGACTTGTGTACTCCTTAAAACTAATGTCCATTCAGTACAAGTAAATGTAAAAAACATTTTTTATTACATTACTTATCATAATCAACTGTAAGTTATTTCTCCAAATGAAGTGTTGCAAAATAATACTAGAATTTTCTTTGAATTGCTTTCAAATATTCATTCTGAACCTTATATGAGCCTACTTGATTGAAAAGTCAATTAATCCATGTTCTGAAATGGGAGACAATTATTTTAAGATTTGGCAACAGTAAAACATTAACATAATTGAAGGAACCTCATGGTCTGAAGAACACTGGGAAAGCATGCTCTGTGCTTTAAGCGTCTACAATTGCATTCATTACTCATATATGACCCAGGACACAAACAGACACAAATTATAATTAAAGAGCTAAAATCAGGATATAGACTAAAACAATCAATAAGAGGCATGCTTAAATATAATGATAAAAAATCAATACAACTACGGATTGTGAATCAAAATGTTTTACTAGACACTTAAGGTTTCCATCTACATTATGTTTAGGAATTTTTTTAGCAATTTGGAAAATAACTAAATCAAGCTTTTCTATTCACTAAACTAACAAAGCTCCTTCTGAATACTTGGATAAATGGGGTTGAAGGAAAGATATCACGGAGGAAGAAATAGAAGGAAAAGAAAATAAATTTTATGTTTATTGAGTATCTACTAAATGATTGACAAGTTCCTAAGATATTTTTCTAACTATTCAAAAAATATTTCTAGACTCAAATTCTTTAAAAATCTTGAAATCAGTGTAGACTAATCACTTGAAATAAAGAATTTAACACAATTTTCTAACAAGTGTGTAAAAGTCTTCTGGTGTCTCTAATTGTCTTGTTCAATTCTCTGCATATGAAAATTTTAAAGGTCATAAAAATTCTTTCTATTTAATATTCTATTCATGAATGCAGTCTTAAATAAAAATCCTACTTAGCTATTGACTGGTGAGTGAAAGAGTGGTGGATATAGGATTACATCTTGAAATTCACTTCCTCCGGAAGTCTTCCCTGCCTCCCCACACCAGGTGATGTCTCCACTGCACTCTGCACTTCCTCTTTGTCAGTGTCATCACATTAGTAAAGACTTATTCAGTGTCTGGCTCCCCTGATAGATCTAAACACTGTAAGAACATGGATTACGTCTGCTTTTCATCTGGGTGCTCAGTGCTTAGCAAATAGTCTAGAGACATAAACACCACAATTATGTTGGTTTAATAAATTGACAAACCAATATTTTCAGGGCATCTTAAAAACAAGATGGACCACTTACATTATATTCTT